TGGCTGTTCGACATACAACAACAAAATTAAAAAGAAGACGTCCAAATGAAATTGCTAGGGCGAAATTCGATTGTAGGTCGCACCAAAGAGCCACAGAACAGCAGCTAGCAGTGACTTATTAATGGTATGCAGTGACGTAGGCGTGCGCTTGCACAAAAGATTCTACACGTCAGCATTGTGTCGTCATAGGAAGCGCTGTCTCATTCTCTTTTCCAGAGACCCTTGCGGCCACAACACCGAAAGTATCATTCTCCTCCCCGGGGATCCTTGCCGCCAGAACACCGAAATAGAACTCATAATACCAATAATACAATTTGCGATTGAAGTTCTAAATTTCCCGCGTAATTTTAGGTTTCAACTATAATGCGTTCGCGTCGTCTCTACGGGTGGCGCGGGCACCTCGAGCCTGCCCAGTTTTCGCTCGACTGTTATGTGACGTCACAACTACGGCGACTCGGGCAGTTTTTACCGTCGCTGCTCTCAGTGCCGTTCGCTGGTTCCCGGCGTCCATTGCGAATGGTAAGTAGGACAGCATTCTCCTTCCCAGAGTTCCTTGCGGTTAGATATATTCGTAAATAGAACTCTGCCAGGGAGATTGGTGGGACAGGTAACTGGACCCATTGACGCTGCAGGTCGGCATCTTCTACACCGCTGGGACAGCGCTTCCGGTGACGACACAACGAACTGGACCGGGATTCCGGCCCAAAGTCACGTGACTAAGTGACGTAATTTTAAAACATTCTAATATTCGTTTTCTGTAAACAAGTTTTTTTTTACGCCATGCCCATGTACCCTGCCTGCTTAGACTTACATGTTTGATATGTTTCTGGCATTTCTAGCTGTTTCTGCGTAAATTTGTAACAAAAGAAAGTTTTTTATTCGCCCAACTTTCGAGAGTAAAATGAAACTCCTGAGTGCCGACGTCAGGTAACCAAGGGAAATAGAACAAGCAACGAGAAAATCACGGACCAATCAGAATGCCGGAATCGTTACTAGTTACCGGCTTCTTGTGTCTTGGTACGCCATGACAGCAGTTAGGGGGAAGTTTAGGAAAAAGTTAGCGAACGACGAAATCGATAGGTAAAAAAGTGTTTAGGTAATTTTCTCAAACATAAAATGCAACTTGGTGTGTTTTTAAAATAAATTGTATACGCTTTACACGAGTTTCGCTCGCATTAACCATAGTAGAGGGAGACCACCGACGAATGAGATACTGTGGTTTCCGATGGAGGCCACCGACGAATGGGATACTGTGGTTTCCGATGGAGGCCACCGACGAATGGGATACTGTGGTTTCCGATGGAGGCAACCGCCGAATGAGATACTGTGGTTTCAGATGGAGGCCACCGACGAATAGGATACTGTGGTTTCCGATGGAGGCAACCGCCGAATGGGATACTGTGGTTTCCGATGGAGGCCACCGACGAATGAGATACTGTGGTTTCCGATGGAGGCCACCGACGAATGAGATACTGTGGTTTCCGATAGAGGCCACCGACGAATGAGATACTGTGGTTTCCGATGGAGGCCACCGACGAATGAGATACTGTGGTTTCCGATGGAGGCCACCGACGAATGAGATACTGTGGTTTCCGATGGAGGCCACCGACGAATGAGATACTGTGGTTTCCGATGGAGGCCACCGACGAATGGGATACTGTGGTTTCCGATGGAGGCCACCGATGAATGGGATACTGTGGTTTCCGATGGAGGCCAGGACGAATGAGATACCGTGGTTTCCGATGGAGGCCACTGACAAATGAGATACTGTGGTTTCTGATGGAGGCCACCGACGAATGAGATACTGTGGTTTCCGATGGAGGCCACCGACGAATGAGATACTGTGGTTTCCGATGGAGGCCACCGACGAATGAGATACTGTGGTTTCCGATGGAGGCCACCGACGAATGGGATACTGTGGTTTCCGATGGAGGCGATGGCAAAAGCTTTAGAACGAACTTTGCATTTTCAAGTTGTATGAATTTAATTATTAATTCATGTTTTGTTTCAATAATGTCTTGATTAATGTTAAGTTTTAGTTCAAATGGTGCCAAAACTAAAAAAACTATATGGAGGTCATTCCGTTGACAGTTGCTTGTTAAATGTAACGTACTTTTTAGCTCAAACAAGTGTCCAAAATATAGCGTAAATGGGTGAGTTTCCGTTTACTGTGAGATCTCGCGTATTCCGTGAAAGCCGCGGACCGAACGTCTGCTGCGAAATCAAGCGATTTGATTTTGAAGTTGAATTGTTACTTTTTATAGCTTAATGTTGAAACATGTAATTTCAGAGAGAAAAATGGTCTATTTCGTGAAGTGTCTTTACACAATTTTCTCACAACAATTCATTATACAATACAAATACATTATTTATTTATTTATTTATTTATTTATTTATTTATTTATTTATTTATTTATTTATTTATTTATTTATTTATTTATTTATTTATTTATTTATTTATTTATTTATTTATTTATTTATTTATTCTTATTTAATAATTATTCTTATTTAATGCATGTTGTATTTTTAGAATTATCCGGCTGTGGTGGTGATAGATATTTGACTGGAACTACCGGAAAGTTCTGGTCTCATGAAGACTTTGACGGAACGACCCAATACCCTAATGATGCTTCATGCCAGTGGAATATAGATGTACCTGACCCCACACAGGTAAACGTTTAGTTTGACAGCACCTTACACTATACACACCTCATGTGGTAGCTGGAAATGTTGCAACTGCCAACATATCAAGACAACAAAACGCAGCTTTTCAGCAATTGTAGCAATGTGAGAGATCTGAAAGATCGAATTGAAATGGGATAAACCTGACTTATTGTATTGACAAATTACCAAATGCAATCAAATCTACTTGAAAAAAAACAAACGTCTCCTCCAACTCTACTCAGAATTAAACAAATCGACTATATCTAAATCAACTTAAACTGGTTCAAATCAAAGACCTCATAAAACTAGTTAAAATAGAAACTAATCGAACTAGTCTACTTCAAATAGAAGAACATTCTAAAGTTAAAACTATAGTTAACTCTAGTTCATATAGAATACGCTCATAATACTTCAAATGGAAGAAACTCCCTAGCTCTTGTTCAAATGAAACAAACTCCCCAAATGTAAATATAGGATTTCTGACAAAGATGATAACGTATAATCTAGTTCGTAGATATTATAAATACACACGGCAAATGGTAAGTTAATTAATACAAATTAAGTCTATCCTCGGGCGGACATCCAAGTATTTTCACCGCCTGGCAACCATCACGGTGTACAAAAAAAAGGCCGAAAACTCCCAGAAAACTGTACTTTGGAATAGTTGTTGAGACTCTGATGAACAATGTAACAAGATTACTCCTTCATATGCAACATATATAAATTCGGTTTCTCAGGATTACTTCAAAGTTGAGTTTGTACTGTTTCCTCGACTTTAGCTGTTTTTACCGGTTCTTCTACTGGTGTTCCACAGCAGCTTGCACAGAGTCCATAGAAATACATGGTACAGTGGCGCGTCTTAGCAACATAGAACGTTCTGGGACGTAGCTCCGCCCGAGGATACTGCGCGCCGAATCGTCTAGTTCTACGTCATGTACTTCACAGTGCGTCTTCCACTCGGCCACTGGGCTTCTGAAGAATGACAAAGTTTATTATGCATATAGATCGAGAATCCCATCATTCTGATCCAACCCACACAGCATAGCTAGTCATGGATAGACAGCATTTATAACAATACCATTAGTGTAAACTTAAAGTTGCTGCTAACATGGGTTGGCGTTATATATACAATACGAGTATGATATTATATTTTTATATGATGTTAGTTTGCAGATATATCAGTTCTTTAAAATAAACAAAGTATTGTTGAAAAAATGTACATTCTAATACAAAGTATACCCTTTGTGGGGGGTGTAAATAAACAAAACAATGCGAGATATCACTTTGAAGCACAATCAGCTGGCGCAAGCGTGATAATCAAATAAATGCGATATTTACTATATGGGGCCGCCATCATGAATGCGGCTTAAAACTCTTAGTTAATATAGTTAAAGCGGGGAGTCGTCCCCTGCGCATGCGTCATGTGGCCATAGCGTGTCATTGTTTACAAACAAGCGCCTACCCATGAGCCTTTGTGTTCTCAGCGTGTGTTGTTATAGTCGCTTGGGACTCAATTCCCACGCATGCGCAGGTGACGACCCTCCCGCTTTAATATCGCATTTATTTTATTATCATTTGTGCGCCAGCTGACTGTGCTTTGAAGCTACATGATGCATATGATGTATATCGGTGTGTTCTTATATTTCAGTTTGTAGAACTTACATTCAACCACTTTGACGTCGAGGGTTCCAGCTTATGCCGATATGACGGCCTGTTTTTATACGACGGAACAAGCGATGCTGCTCCCATTATGATAAGACTCTGTGGTCATCACATTCCATTTCCAGAAGTTACCACTGGGCCTTCGATGTACGCTACTTTCACAAGCGATTTTATCATCAGGTGGACTGGATTTGAAGCTGTTTACAACCAACGTGCAACACAACCAAGTAAGTCATGTGACACTATAGTAGGCCACCTGATACGACTTGTGCACCCGGCCGGTACGATTTATAAGGAGACTTTACTAAATCTATTTTTGCGGGACATGAGTTTTTTTTTCTGATTTGCATGACCTTGATTATTATTAGCCTGTCCGTCATTTTTAATCAAATTAACCATGGTCCAGGTTTTAGTGATTACCGATCACGATGGTGATTGCCAGTCGTGATTGGCGGTGGCACAGGAGGGGACATTCTCCCCCTCAAATAAAAAAATGTTGCGTCCCCCCAATCAAGGTGAAACCCTTTGTGTCAGAAAAATTTGCCCCTCAAAGTAGCGTTTCAAAGAGTCCAGATTTCATAATTTTTAAGGGGAATCATGTCCCGGACCCCTTGCGCGACGTTGGTGAGCAGATCTCGCCCCCTCATGCAAAATTCCGTGCTGCCGCCTCTGAATAGAGCCTTTAATCCGTGTACTCAGTAAATCCTTGCAATTGCGCTCTTCACGTGAAAAAGCTATGAAACCTTCACGAGGTTATTTGATTATACAGAAGACGGCTGGGCAAATAAATAAAGATAACCTAGATATTGAAGGAATTCATTACAAGTTCTATTTTTGAAAACGAATTCACGATTTCTGGAGGGGGGGAGATGAGGTTAATTATTCATTCATTATTCCTTCGCTTTGTTCTCGAACTCCTGATGCAAATGTATTTAAATAAGAAAAGTTTATTATTTCGAGTTAGGAGATACATAAAATATAATATCAACGGTTACGATATCCACCTTTAAAAATATGTACCCCATTACAATAAAAGACCATACAATAAAACTTACTGAATCACCCCAAAATAAATGAACAAAACAAGCTGTGTAATCAGTCATATTTGATATTTACAATGATTTACGATAGTCAAAATTAAAACTAACCCACCAATCTTAAAACCCCACAGTCGTCGCGCAGCGCGTGTATGAATTTGGTGTAACTCAACTATGTATTTTACAATAGTATTTTACTATAGTAATAGTATATGTTTCCATGGTGTAATATAAATTACACTACAGTGAATTATTAAAGCAGCATTGATTAAAGTGATTTCGACAATGATTTGTTTGATTTAACTTTATAAAAATACCAGATCTTATATATTGTTTTAGACAAAATTGCGTTGGCAAAGCGACCCAACACATAGAAAATTAAAGGTCAAGTAATCGCCATTTCGTTGCAATCCGGGTCACGTGAAGGGAGTCGTAGAAAATTCAGATGCACGACGCACACTAATGTGTGGAATGACACGCAAAGTCATCAGTGAGAGGCCATCAGAGAAAGACTTAGCCACCCCAGATGGCGACGCTTCTGACATTTCGCCCTCAGCCCCCATAATTTATCATCTTGTACCATAAACCGTAAGTAAGTTTTGCTTGACCATGCTGGATAACAGTAGGTGGTGCCCTCTGGAGACCTGGCACTGAGAATGTTTTATTAAAAGTTAAAAAAAAACGAAAATAAAAAAACACGATAGTTACAGGTATTGCCGCTTTAAATATAGCTTACAAATATAATTTTTTTTTGAAAACAAAAAAAGGTAGACTGTTATTTCATGCTTGTGCAAATCCCAAAAAATTGCAGCGGGAAACGCGATGAACTGTGCACGCAAGGTGTCTGACTGTGGTGACGGGCAAGTGGTTACATCGGGCAGGGTTACATTTTGGCGACGCAATTATACCATACACACGAGGTAACTGCGTTTACCCATGCGTTGCTTTCTGCGTTGCCCCATAAATTGCCTTATGGAACACGCCCTTCAAATTACCTCAAACTTGAAAATGTGTTGGTTCTTTTTTATATGGACGGCCGTCGGTAGTTGAGTGCGCCTAACGCTATTTTTATTTACTACTAATTATATTTGTGAATACAAATGATGTGACAGAACGCCACGCACGAAATTCAAAATTGAGGCGTAAGTAATATATATAAAAACAGTTTAACCTCAAAACCGGACGCTAGCCGTTCAAACCGATGGTAGAAATGTATCCAGCACCCAACAAATAAGCGTTGTTTTAATTAAAATAAATCCTATTATTATACATCTGTCGCCGTAACGCCATAAGTTACAAAGTGCCGTAATTTTGTGGTGTTTTACGGGGTATTTTCATCCTATCACATAAGGAAATGCGAATTCCAAATGTAGAATGATTACGTGCGTAAGCGTCCTCTAATAATAAAAACAGACATGGCTGCCACCAGGGTTTGACCGGTCTGCACACAAAGAAGTTCGCTGATTCTGTTCTAAACTTTTTGGATTTCGGTATATCCATGATGTATCCTTGGATGGAAAAGATGTATAATACTACGTTACTACGAAGATACCTCCAATTATGCACAAAGACAGTACAGCGGAAATATCGACCGACTCGCAGCGGAGGTAGATGCGACGGCGTACTGTCTGAGTACTGTACTCGGCGTACTGTACTGTCTTATATTATTATCCAGACTATTATTTAATTTCTTTCAATTAAACATTAATAATAATTATCTTGTTCTTTTCAGAGACCTGCAGTGAAGATATGTTTCTATGTGGACGGGATGATACAAGCGATTGCGTGACCTTTGTCGAACGATGCGATGACAAATACCAATGTGAAATTGATGAAATGGGATGTCCTGGTAAGTTCCGCAAGTGTAATTGTTGATATATTGTATTATGGATAGCTTAAAATGTAAGGCGCATGCTTGTATTGCCGAGGAAAAGTTGTGTAGTTCCCGCAGTTGCCGTAGTTGCTGCAGTTGTAGCAGCTGGGAGCTCGGATCTCGTGTTCTTATATGTGGCAGTAATCTTGAATCTGATCAGTCTTTAAATCAAATTCTTGCTACCAATCAACAAAAAACCTGGTCAGCCTATAACTGAACCTGTTGCTGCCAATCAACACCCCTGTACCAACGAAGATGGTCAGTCTATAACTGAACCTCTTGCTGCCAATCAACACCCCTGTAACAAAAAACCTGGTCAGCCTATACCTGAACCTGTTGCTGCAAATCAACACCCCTGTAACAACGAAGATGGTCAGTCTATAACTGAACCTCTTGCTGCCTATCAACACTCCTGTACCAACGAAGATAGTCAGCCTATAAATCAACATCTTGCTACCAATCAACACCCCTGTAACTACAAATCTGGCCAGCCTATAACTCAACCTCTTGCTACCAATCAACG